GTTTAATTGAAAGGTACTTTTTTAAAAACTTCACTTTGTGGGCTGGCTGAGTGGCGTGTTGATTAAGAATTGGCTTGGGACACCAGCTCTGAGCAGCAGGGCCCTGGTTCAGAACCCACATGAGGGCCAGTGACACTGCCCTCTGCAGCTAAGACGGTGAACAACAGCTCAACCTGGAGCTGTCCTGCCGTGAGTCGCCGGTGACGGCGTAGGCTGCAGTGGGGCTGGCGGGGAGCTGGCGTGCACTTTCGTGAGCTGCTATGAGCTGCTGTGAGCAGCTGCCTCACCTGGGAAGAGCACAATGATAATACCAACATGGGCCAGTGAAGCGACGTCCTCCACAACTAGACTGAAGAACAAAAGGATAGCAACTTGTCTGTTCCCCTTCCCCAGTTCCCCAATAAAATCTTTAAAAAAAAAAAAAAAAGTACCCAGGGTGACAGGTTGGCTCAGTTGGTTAGAGCGTGGTGCTGATACCACCAAGTTTGCTGGTTTGATTGCCGCCGCATGGGCCACTGTGAGCTGCGCCCTCCTTAAAAGAGTCAACTATGCCATTGTAGCATGAAAGCAACGTGTAACCAATGACCATGGCTGTTGCCCAATAAAATAATTTTAAAAAAGTACCCATAATACCAACACCTTGAGTCAGTAATGAACATCTTGCCATTTCTTGTAAAAAAATGTTTTAGAGTAAGTTTCAGACATGTACTTCACCCCTAAACCCTTGAACAGGCAGATTTTGAAAAAAGGTAGTTCTCTGGCATGCCATAATCACACCTAAAAAAACCGTATCAATAATCCTCTAATATCTGCTGGGATTCTGGAAAGTTTTTCCTGATCAACTGGAGGTGGACTCGAATTCCACCTGCAAAGGAGAAATGCTTGAATCCCTCTTTGCAAGCTGATAGTTGCCTCCAATGCTGGCATATAGGTTGGTTTGGTTTAAACAGCTTTATTAAGGTATGATTCGTGTGCCATAAACTGCATTTGCTTTAATGGTTTTTTAGTAAATTTACAGAGGTGTGCAACTTTTAGCACAATACAATTTAAGAACATTTCCCGAAAAGTCCCTTGTGCCCATTTGCAGCAAACCCCCCAGCCCCCCAGGCCACCACCAATCCACTTTCTTCCTCTTGACTTGCCTTTTCTGGACATTTCCTGTAAATGGAATCCTACAGTATGTGGTCTTTTTGGTGCTTGGCTTCAAATCGAATGGTGCTTTTGAGATTCGTCCATTTTATGGCATCTGTCAGTATTTTTTCTCTCGCTGACTAGCGTTCTGCAATGAGTTTTTCCCCTTTTATGAATACCACTATGGACTCATGGGGGGTTTTTTTGTTTTGTTTGTTTGTTTTTAAAGATTTTTATTGGGGAATTGGGGGATGGGAACAGACAAGTTGCTGCCCTTTTGTTCTTTAGTCTAGTGGAAGATGTTGCTTCACTGGCTCAAGTTGGCACCATCATCGCACTCTTCCCGGGCAAGGCAGATCAGTCACCGGCTTCTGGACAGCCACTCACAGCGGCTGCTGGCCGCTCACGCTGCTTCCTGGCTACACATGGTAGCCCATGGCAGCCCGCTGCAGCCTACGCCATTGCCGGCAGCACAGCTCCAGGTTGAGCTGTTGTTCACCATTTTAGCTGTAGAGGGCAGTGTCACTGGCCCTCATATGTGGGATCCGAACCAGGGCCCTCTGGCGTCCCAAGCCAACGCACCACTCGGCCGGCCCCTGGACTCATGGGTTTTTATTTATTCAATATGTGCAGTTAGAATCATTCTTCTGATGCTCAAATGTTCACACATTCGACCAGTGGGAGCCCTTTTGAGTTAGCTCCTGGATCCTTTGACACCTCCCTCTGTCCCCATTAGTCTTCAAGCACTTCCTTTCTAGCGTAACATAATGTCCTCAGAAGCTCAGAATCCCAGAGACTAGAGCTGGGAAGGCCCCAAGACCCTGGCTCACTGGCAGACAGTGGACTACCTAGGAACTCAAATCCAGGAGTTCCTGAAGTGAATGAATGAATCTCTAACCTAGAGGGCAGCAACTGACACATTCCCGGGAAACAGGCTCAGACATGGGAAGAGTCCTAAGGGACTTTGAGCACAAACCAGTGTTAGACTTTGTGCCTCTAATTTCAGGGCCGCTCTGTGAACTCCCTGCCAGAGAAGAGGCCAGAGTGAAGGCCAACTCTACTTGGGACAGCTGGGGACTCTGGAAAAGCCTGGGTCTCAGGGCTTGTCCAAGGACTCATAGGGCAGTGGGAGGAGGCAGCCAGCAATTTGGTTCATGGGGTGCAGGGTGGTTCAGAACCTGGTTCTGCCACGTAATAGCCAAGTGACCTCACAAATGGTGGGACACTCTGAGCCTTACTGTTGTCAGCTATAACCTGGGATCATTAAGAGCTCCTTGCAGGCTGCTGGGAAGATAACACAAGTGACCAAGGCTGGACCACCTCCCAGTATGCTCAGAGTGATTCCAGGGGCATCACTGGTCTAACCCTCAGCTCAGGGAGGAGGAAGGTGGCTTTCGCAGCCTCCCAAAGGTCTCCCTGCAGCATCCACGCCCCCCCCCCGCCCTGCCCCTTGTCCACACAGCAGGTCTGACCTGTCATCTCTGCTATCTCATGAGACCTTTCAATGGCTCCTAGGCATAGCATCAGAAATACATCCATAAGTACACCAAAGATAGCAACACTATTTGTTACACCCCAAACCTGGAAACACCCCAAATGTCCATTAAGAGGCAAATGGAAAATAAACTGCTGTGTTCTCACTGTGGACTACCACACAGCAACGAGAGTGAACAAATTACAACCAGAGGCTATAGCATCGACAGTTCTCACAAACTCAATGCTCGTGTAACAAGCCTCACACAAAAAGGACACACTGTAGGATGCTGCTTATAGAAAGTACAGAAGCATACCAACCTAATGTGTGGTGGTAAATGTTGGGATGGTGGTCACCCTGGGGTGAATAGATGGGGTCTCAGGGGCTCCCGGGGTCCTGGTTCTTGATCTAGGGGCTGCTTACACAGGTGTGTTTTGTTTGTGAAACTTCACCAAGCTGTACACATCCGATTTCTGGAATTTCTTGTATGAATGTTATATTGTAATGTTTTTAAAAAGCACAACCAAACCAACCAACCAACCCATCTTTCAGAACTGCCGTCTGTCCTCACCACTAATAGTGGCTCTCAAATGGGTGGCTAGGCCCTTGCTGAACTCCCCACTCACCCCCAGCGCCTCGCCCCTCACTCTGTCTTGCCATTTCATCTAGCCACACTCCTGTCTCAGGACCCTTGCTTATGCTGTTCCCTCTGTCAGGAAAACCCCACCCTGGATAACTCCCTCTCATTCTGTTGTTCATCACTTCCCTGGAACGTGCTCCCTGAGGCAAGAGGACCCTGGAACCAGACAGGCCAGGGCTTTAGGGGCTTTGCCTCTTTAGACCTATTTGCTCATTAGTGAAATGGCCACTAACCAGGGTGGGCAATGCAGTCAGACTTGGGATGGCTGCCCTATACCAGGGGACTATTCTGGGAAACTCACAGCCCACTCTTCACACCTCCTGCTTTTCAGAAGCTAATAATGGCAGTGCCTGAGGTGGCTGAGGGCAGATGACAGGGAAATGGGGCCAGGTGACACAGACCAGCCCAGGCTGGGCCAGATGGGGAGGTAGGTAGCTAAGCACAGCTGAGGGGGGCCGGG